TGTGGCACAGCAGGGGCTACATGTTGTACCAAACGGTAGCACCTGCCACTCGTACACCGCAGGAGGGCCTTCTTCACTGATGTCACGCCAAAGAAATCTGAGCAGAGCACGATCTTCTGGGAGGAGGCGAACTTAGTGGAACATGCCTCTGATGTCTCCACTAATTGCAACCGCATGCTCTCGGAATCTTAGCAGAACTCCCAGTAGTGATGCTCCTAATGTCGGCCCAGGCAGTAGATGGTCATTGAGGATCTGCCCTCGATACTGGTAGGAGCAGTTGAATACCAGCCTATTCTTGCCATTATGGCTCACAAGATGGTGAGGAATATACCACTCCTCCCGGCCTTCCTCCGCTGAAACATTCGGTCCACACTTGATGACATAGCCCGCCTTTATAAGTTTCTCCATCTCCACTCTGTAGGCTTCTGCCCGTGCAGGATCTTTAGCCAGTCGCCTCTCAACACTTCGTAGACTGGGCATGACGGCTTCTTTAGTAGCCTGAAAGAGCGGCATGTCTCCCTTGCGTAGCAGCGGGGTAGCGTAACGTAGAATGCCATCTACCTCTACCCTGATGGTTTTGGTCTCCAGGATGCGGATGGCCTCTTGGTCCTGTCTTGAGCGAGTAACTAGTTTCTCACTTCTGAATGGGACATCGTCGACCTGCCATAATCTCTCAACATGTTTCATCAGCTCGCTCTGGTGGGGTGCTACTGTTGTAAATAGACACTGCTGTGGTTGGGTGAGGTGACAGACTACACTCGCTGGGCCCTGCAGTGTCCAGCCCAGCCTTGTGCAGATGGCAGCAGGCCCTCCTGGAGGTCCTAATCTGACAGGTTCAATGGGAGTGACGAGATGGGGGTGGTCACTCCCAATCAGAAGCAAGGGCTTAACATCCATAAGGGTCTGTATGGGAAGGCCAATGAGGTGCTTGTACGTGTTCCTGAGTTGTTCCATGGGGTAAGTATGTGCAGCTAGTCCAATACAAGCACTGGTGAATGCACCTCTAATCTTGAACTTAGACTTTGGCTTTGACGGTGAGGAAATGGAGAACGACACTGATGCACCACGGAGGGTCCGCACTTCATCTCTGATTGTACGTAGTGGAAGGTCCTCTTGAATCCCCTGCACACCTAGCTTCTCTGCAGCATCTGGCAACAGCATAGTTCTCTCTGAACCGTCGTCAAGTATGGCATAGGTGTTGATTGATTGGTCACCATGGTGAATACGGACTTTGACAACTTTCAGAAGAACCCGACTGCCTTCAGTGGGTCTATCCAAATACAGAACTTCTGTTGTGCCCCTTAAGCCTTGGCTTTCCGCTCCCGGTGTTGACGATGCCTCCTTAGGTGACCTCATATTCACCTCATGCAGAACCTGGAGGTGTTTCCCTTGGCAGAGGCTACATGTCTTTTTTAAGTTGCACTGAGCCGCCTGGTGTGGCCGTGCACATCGCCAACACCTCTTGTTCCTCTTTATCCATTCAATCAGCTGATCCTTAGTTAGCCTGGATACCTCTGTACACTGGCTGAGGTAGTGTTCCTCATTATTGCAGAATGGACAGTATGGCTTGCTCTTGTTCCCTTTGAAGGAGCTGCGTGGCACTGGCACCTCAGGTTTCCTAGCTGTGTCCTTCACACCATGGAGGACAGAGGTAGGTTGCTTACCCTTCCTACCCTCTTGACGGAACACTGGCTTCTCCCGCACTCCTCTCACAGCTAACTGTCCTTCAAAGTCCTGGCACCAAGACTCGTACTTCAACCAGTCTGAAAGATTAGTTAAGGTGTGGGTTCTTGTTCCCTGATGATACATGCATCGGCGAAACTCTGCTCTTTGCTCAGATGGCAGCTTGCTCAGCAGACGAGAAACATGTGAGCCACATTGTAGTTCCACTTCACCCTCGTGACCTAGTGTTCTCAGCATTCCCACGAGTGACTGTATTTGGAGTGCAAACTTCTCAAATGCAGCAAAGTCTCCCCGCTTTATGTCCGGTGAGTCCAGCACAGCAGCAATACGCCTCAGCGCTATCTGATGTGGTTGGCCAAACTTGTCATTCAGGGCAACCATTGTGTCGGAGAAGGGTGTCGGAGAGTTAAGGTAAGCATCTGCTATTAACCTAGCTTCTTCTAGTTGCAGATGATCGACCAACACTTGGTATTTAAACAGCTCAGATGCGTCATGTGGTAGGAGGTTCTCCAATGAGATCTTGAGCCGTGCGAACTCACTTGGGTCCCGACTGGCGAAGTTGGGGATTGTTGGGCGTGGCCCACGGTAACTTGGCTCTGGGATGTTGGAGTTATAACCCTGCGGTGATTTAAAGGGCTGTGCCCATGCCATGCTTGAATGTCGCTGTTGGGGCGTTGGGTTGCAGCCAAGGTCACTCCGTTGACCACCATAAGCTGTAGGGTACTTGGGCTCCGCTGGATGTGGCTGCGGCAGAAACTGAACGGGCTTGAACCAGGGCGGTGGATAACGGGCAGTGTCATCCCATGGCTTTGCAGTAGGAAGGGCCTCACTTGCTGAGTGATAAACTTGTGACTGGCCCACAAACATGTCAAGAGCTGGGGGTGGCAGTGCTTCTTCCTTAGTTCTTGGAACCTCATCTATTCTCCTAATAAGTGAATGTAGCATAGGTCGGTCACCTGGTATAAGTTCGTCAATTACTGGGTCTGGCCATGGTGGTGGTGCAGGCCAATCATCCTCTTCTTCAGCGTTAAGTTCACTTTCTACAAGTGGCTGTGATGACATCACCGTTAACTCTGGCTTTCTGGTATGAAGAGAGGTTGGAGACTGCATGTTGCGAACAGAATCCACTAACTGTCTCATGTCTGCTCGCAGCGCTCTAAGCTCAACTAAGTCTGATGCCATGTGGCGCTGTGTCTGCTGCAGGAGGTGTCTTTCATGACGAATGTCATCTAACTCAACTCGGCTGTCATTCTGCGGATGTACTGTATGCAGTGCTGAAGGTAAGGGAGTAGAGTAATCTCGTAGCTGTTCCCTAAACTCTCTCTCTGGAAACCGCTGGGCCTGGGGGGCTAGCTGCTTCTTCTGGCTGTGCTGTTGGCTCTCAGTCCTATAGCCCAGGTCCATCTCCTGAAGAATAGCATCCCGCCTCTGGCGTCGCAGGGGAGAGTCTGGTGGGGAGGTGAGTGACGTCATCCTGGCATTTCCCTCCTGGTGAGAACTCTCTGATTCCTCTCTGTACCTCTGACCGATGTAGCCTCTATAATCAACCTCATAATCTGCATAGCGCACAGGTAGGTGGATATGCCGTCTGGGACGTGCACCAATAGCATCATACTCTGGATGTCGTTCCATCTCTGATGTGAACCCAGTGTCTCCGGCTCGAAGGACCATCAATGTAGTGAAGATAATAGGTAGACACTCAGTCTATGTGCTAGTTCTGGATTTATCACCAAGTTCACTCAGGTGTGTCGGCCAGAACACCTCTTAAGGCCAAATGTTCCAGAGTATGAAATAAATAGTGGAGAAATAATTCTGATTCTGTTTCTTTATTCCTCTTTCTTGCAATTCTGTGAGTATTGGTGTGTGTGTGTGTGTGGTCTCTATAAAGAGAGAAACAAATTACAAATGAATAAATCAAACATAGCTATGCATGCACTCATTCCTCTCTATGCACTAATATACATTACTAAACAAAAGCAAACAATAATCAGCATATAACTATACAGTATATCTCTTAAACTCTAATACTGTAAGAATAATATAAAGATTCAAACACTTATAAAAGATCCTCAGATTTTCCATTATAAGTAAAATTCTAACATCACTTACTTCTTATAATACTCAACTACAAAGTACTGATCAATCCTAACAAATATAAAGGATAAACACATCTAAACACGATATTACTATCTTTAACCTGACGTACTAAATCAGATGAGTCGAAGCTCTAACGTGAGATGTACTAACGCGAATATAATTAGCACCTCAGTCTCAAATCGACTCCTTAAACTCCCAACTCTTATCTACATCAAATAACAGAAATAACTAGTTTAACAAATAATATAATACCACAGTTTTACTTACTTTTTTCATTTACGCACACTCTGAGGGAAAGTGCAGCTCACACAACCAACTGACCAACCGACTATCTCTATCGTACTGCGTACTAAGTATGTGATGTCAGATAGTATACAAACCAGCGCGCGCCTCAGACACCGTTACAAGCGCTGAATCAACGGAAGTGAATGTGAAACATAAACCCTAATATGGTCAACTACACTAAATAATAGCAACACTAAAATAACTTTGGGGCCTTTTCTACAGTAGGATAGCTAAAGCTAGCTAACTTTTTTCACTTAGAAAATGCTAGTAGCCTAAATTTACAAAGATTTACCAAGTAAAAACCTAAACATATTTATCAGTAGCTTTAATTAGAAATTTTAACTTGCAGTAAAAGGTTGATTAATATCGATTTCCTTTGCCTTTGTGTTACATTTCAAACAATCTAATTTTAGTAGGCATTTATAGTATGTGCTTTACTTAAATCATCTAAATAATTAATATTACATCATGTCAGATGTTAAGCATCATGTGAATGCAAAGACCTAAATACTTATATAGACAATCGCGCTGGGTCGTTTTGTGTCATTTTGAGCAAAAAAATTTGCTCGAAATGTCACAAAATGGCAAGTTACTACACATACCGACAACAAAAATCATTGAGAAAACAGTGTAAGTGTAGTGTTCTCTCTCTCTCGCCTTGCTTCTTTTTGATCCCGTCGCTTTTTGTCTGTCTTGCTATCTTTTCCTCTGTATACTTTTAAAACACTTGTCGGTGTACGGCAATTTTACAGAAAAGAAATCACTAAGATTTCGCCCCCAGAGAACTTTTGAGAACTACTTCAAGTTAATTTTCACGCTCTCAGCTTCCTCTGTCCATATATGAGCGCGTTTACATTTTAGTTGACTGTTTTGTCAATCACAGAAAGTTAATTGATTTTATGTTAACTCATGTTCATAATGTTTTGTATTTGCAGGCCAGTGGTTATTCTTGAAATCGGGGTGGCTGTTCTTGTGGCCGTGTTCTTCATGGTCTACCTTGCTACTCGCTACAATCCCCCTAAAGATCCGTTGTTCTATGGTATGAGCTCTAATTTGATCTATTGACTTTTGAAATATGCCAAATACGCATTCCATATTTTATTCTGACCCTCAAAATAATAAACATATGATGTTTATTTATATGATGATCAAAAAATATGATCACGTCACCTTCCTGTTACCTGTGGTAGCAATGTCCCATACATCTGGATCAATTACTTGTTTTGTTACTATATTGAATGCGGAAGCAATTTAAACTCCGTAGTAAATTTAGCCACGAATAACGTTTTTTTTTTTTGGGATGCACCGATATGACAATTTTGGCCGATACCGATAACCGATAATCCTTTATATTTGAAAGCCGATAACCAATATATTGGCCGATAAATCTAAATAATCTAATTTTTGAGAGTCTGATTATAAAAAAGTCTCCTCATTAAAAGTCAAGATACAAATACAATTATGATGTTCTTATTTTTAATGTTGTGTAGACTTGCGCTGCACATTTTGCACTTTAACTGGATTTTCCTTTCTTTAAGTGATTTCAATCGTGTTTCAAGCAATTTAAAAGCATCATGTTGAACAGTGCGCATCTAAAGTGCCTCAGCTGAAGGAAATAATACATTATTTATCGGCTTTTATATATCGGCTGAATGTTCTTGTTGGGCCGATAACGATAACATTGAAAATGATCATATATCGGCCGATACCAATAATGTGGCCGATATATCGTGCATCCCTAGTTTTTTTCAAAGGAGAAACCTGAGGTAAATATCACATTTAAAAAGAAAAAAATACCCATCCACTCAAACTATTTGTCAAACTAAGAATGAAAATATAATTTAATTGTAAACACAATACATAAAACACTTAGTAGGATTCCCCTCAAATGTTTAAATTCTCATATATATGTCCACTGCAGTTTCCTGTGGGCAAATGAAATGTGAAAACCCCCCAAATAAATAAACACAAACTCAATCTCCCCCTCATGGACACAATAGAAAATTGTCAGATTTTGCAATGTAATGCACAAAAAGATAGTGGTGTTATCATGGATTAGTGACTGAGAGGTGACAATGTCTTCTGGCACATGTCATTCCACCCCTGTCGTGATGAAAGAGAAGATATTTCCATTATCACACCTAATGCAAGTAAACTAAACCAAGACCCCTATGGATTTAAAGGGCTTGGGGAGAAAAGGGAAAGCAAGAAAGACGGAGAGGGACTCAATATCAGACTGTGAATCTGTGCTCGGCAGACGGCAATGCAACACTTCTCTTTGAGCAGTCATATCTACGAAGCTGTCACTCAGATACTCGTGCACGCTAGAAGAATGGCAGTGGACAATATCTAGTCTGGCAATCCAACCATGAAATTGGATACAAGAAAAGTATTTGTGTTACAATAACACACCTGTCTTTACTTTTACACCCTTAGTTTCCTTCACAATGAAGCAACAAATTCCATATTTCTGAGAGCTTCGCTCGGAAAAGAAGATTATTCAAGGAATGGTTAACGTAAACATGAAAAAGCTGTTATTTAACCACATTTTGTGCTTTTTGTCATTCTCTTATTTTATGAAAAAGAGCAATATGAACATTCCACTAAGCTTCTATTGTGTTGAACATTTTCTGGCAAGGTTCTTCCAAACAAATGTATACCAGTAAGATTAATAAAAATGTTTGTTCAAAGTGATCTCTTATAATGTTCTCAAAACAAAAACTTTATACATCGTTAATGGAACATATTTTCGTCAGAATTTTTTTTAAATAGCTGCGTTCACTCATGTCACGTGGATTGTGCTTTAGAATATATTTCTGTTCCCTAGGATACGGATTTGGAACAATGTGAGGTTAAAGTAAATGATGACAGAATTTTCATGTCTAAATGAAATATTCCTTTAAATCCAGTGTCTGAGATTGCAGTGGTGACATTTACAGTCATTATTTTTCCCTCCATGCTTTGGATTTTCTTTCTTCATGTCCCTTGCCACTCATTATTTGTCACCCAGATGCTTAGGAAATGCCGCATGGGGTATTCTCTGTCTCCGCAAAGTGCCCTTTTGGCACATCTGCACTTTAAACCTGAAAAAAAAAAGACTCTTGTTCACACCTCGACTGGTAGATATCATTATCCTCCCCCACCTTGCCTGAAATCAATAGTCAGTAAGAGTGAAATCCTGTTAATAAAGAGTGCAAGAATAAAGGTAGGCTAGTTAACTCTTGATAGGGCAGTTGAGCGCTGCAACATCTTATTGGTGAGTTTTTCCCCCCAATGCACATCACAGAAGGCTTAGAGTTAAGGACGAAAACATTTCAATTCAGCGATTCGAAAGTGCCAATGAAGCCCAGCTCATAATCCCACTGGGGGAGATGCATTTTTTCTTGTAAAGCCTGCCATTCAAATGTAACAAAAGTGATTGAAAATTATCTTTGTTATAGCTAAGAGCAGTTTGTTACTTTCTGAGAAAGAAAAGGTTCTTCTATTATTACTTACTAGAAGGGGGGAACACTGGATGTCATGATTGACCAATCAGAATAGAGTATTCCAGAGGGCCATCCGTGATTGACCAATCAGAATAGAGTATTCCAGAGGGCCATCTGTGATTGACCAATCAGAATAGAGTTTTCCAGAGGGCCATCTTTGATTGACCAATCAGAATAGAGTATTCCAGAGGGCCATCTGTGATTGACCAATCAGAATAGAGTATTCCAGAGGGCCATCTGTGATTGACCAATCAGAATAGAGTATTCCAGCGGGACATCCGCGATTGACCAATCAGAATAGAGTATTCCAGAGAGCCATCCGCGATTGGCCAGTCAAAATAGAGTATTTCAGAGGGCCATCCGCGATTGACCAATCAGAATAGAGTATTCCAGAGGGCCAGCCGCGATTGACCAGTCAGAATAGAGTATTCCAGAGGGCAATCCGCGATTGGCCAGTCAGAATAGAGTATTCCAGAGGGCCATCCGCGATTGGCCAGTCAAAATAGAGTATTTCAGAGGGCCATCCGCGATTGGCCAGTCAGAATAGAGTATTTCAGAGGGCCATCCGCAATTGGCCAGTCAGAATAGAGTACTCCAGAGGGCCATCTGCGAATGACCAATCAGAAAAGAGTATTCCAGTGGCCATAGTCAAAATTTCGTCGATGACGGTAGACAAGTTCTACTTCAAGCTCTATACGTAGACTAAAATGTTGCAATTAACCAAAAACCAATACATTTTTTTTTTGTTCAGTTTTTGCAGAGTTTTCCTTCACGTGTGTCATTGACCTCACGAGCGCTCTAGAATACGATGGCTTCGCATCAGGATTCATGGAGTTCTACCAGAAAACGGTCAGTATTGTGAGGAGAAAGCCGAGTTGATTTCGATTACCCGGTCTAAACCTACCTGTCTGACAATGGTTTTGCTGATTCTCCAGGGGGAGCCGTATCTTGGTACACCCTATGCTATCATGATGTGCTATTGGGATGGTATAGTGCACTTCATCATCTACCTGATACTGGTACACCGCATGTCAAACAGGTTTGAAATTGAGTTCTTTAGAAGTAAGGTGATGACACTATCTGGCAAGATCAAACATGTCATGAAAGTACATGCAGTGGTGTTTAAAAGGAGGTTGATATGCAAAGCAAGATTGGTACGCGAGGGCGGGCTAGTGCTTTTTCGTAAATAAGTCACGTGACTTATTCACAATACAGCACTAGCATATCGAGTACCTTATTGCTTTTATAAAACGGTTACCACATAAATACATTTTTTTTTTAAATGTACTCCTTTAACTGTTAAAAGGATGATGCATAGCAGCGGACATTTAAACGAATTTTTTACTATGAATATCGGACTGACCTGAAGGTAAATGCTATATCTACTGTAAAGGCAGGTACACTCGCTTACTCAATCTCTCACAATACAAGCTTCAATTAACATATCAATGAGAACAAACATATGTTTATGTTGCTAAGAGTGGTTGCTAGCGGTGTTGTGTAGCGTGATACAACGAGCCCGATCTCATGAAAGTTCGTATCTATAGCACGAATGTCATTTCTCGTGCCATTTATACGTGAAAAACAGTTTTTGTGTGTATATGGTACACGTTTTTCGCGTGCATATGATACGCACTTTTTGCCGTATAATGCGCACGAACTCCCCACCCCCCTCCCCCCTAAACCTACCCCAGGGTTTTTTAGTTCAAAAAACATTTTTGCCATATAAATGCCATGAGAAATGACATTCATGGTATAAATACGCATTTTCATGAGGCTGTGTTGTGTGTTGGATACAACAGTAGGGTTTTATTGTGAATAAAACAGCTATTGACCAACCGTATTGACTAACCGTTTTATAAACTTCAAACAGATGAAATTTAGCTTGTAGCTAATTCTGGTATGGCTGCATGCCATACACTGTTCCTGTTAAATAAATATAATAAAATAAAATAAATAAACCTAAATGAATGTGTCCTATTGTCACAGGCAACAATATCGCACTTTGGGCCTTTTTTGGGCTGGATCACTGTGCGGCAACATGATTGTGTTTGTACCTGGAATCGTAGTTGGTGAGTCAAAATAAATAAAAGATCAAAAATTCCTGGTAAGCATTATATAAGAAGCTTCTCAAGTACATTTTATTTGCAGGTAAATATGGCTCAGAGATCCGCCCTGCCTTCTGGCTCAACATGCCTTTTCTGTTGGTGCCCATATGGGGAGCAGTGTCCCTGTTCTCCAGGCCAAGGGATATGCCTCTTGTGGGTGCATCTAAGGTGAAAACCAGACACCGCTGAAACAACCTTGGTCAATAGTTAATATTTTCCACAATCCATAACAGTTGAACAATGGTGCTTGTATCTCTCAGGCTGAACGTGAGCAGAAAAAAGCCTTAATATGGCGTCCCCTGGACCTGCTCTTTGTTGTTTATCTAGTGGCTGCCATGGGATTCACTGTCTTTAGAGGACTGGTAAGTTCGTGGTAATCATACGCTTGGTATGTTCAAAAATTCAGTCAGAATCTGAAACTTCTATCTTTATCTATACAGGCAGTTCTTGATTGCCCGTTGGAAATCCTCAACAGATATGTCACAGAATATGAACCTTATCTGAAGGATCCCGTGGGCTTCCCCAAAGTTATGGTGAGCACACATTCACATATTCAGAAAGAAATCACATTCAGGCAGATCTGCTTAAGGCATACTTTGCTTCGTGATACACTTAGCTTTATAGCATTAATCTCCTCCAAATGACTGTACGGCACCTTCTAGAAAGGTATTACTCATCATTAGCACTCAATAAGGTGGGTGGCTTATTGTCACCTTAGGTTGTCCAAGAATATCCCTCCTGTGTCAACCGACCACGGTATTGTGCATATGTTTTTGTTTAGATTTAGGTTTTAGCTCGGTCAATAGGTTATCAAAAGTCCTTGTTCTAGCTGGAGCCGGGGCACAATGGTGACCCATCGATCAGGCAGAAGATGTGCTGTGAGAACTTGATAAGCTAATCCCACCCATGAGTCCTGGCTGAGCCCCTCCATCAACTCAAACGTGTCGGAGGGAGTGTGACATGCGTGGTAATGTGTTTGATAAGGAACGGAGGGACTCCAACACGCATGTTTGTTCAGGGGACAGAGACCTGCTTCGATCGCATAATACCTCTGCTCTCAGGGATGGAAGAGCGTCGCTGAGAATATTTATAGACATTGGGCATGGTAAACTCCTCTTACTGTTATCTTCACTCAAATTGATCCAACTCATAAAGGAAGACAATCGTGTTATATAAAATTATATAAAGATAAAAATATGTATTTTTTATATAGTATTATAATTAATAAGTAAAAAAATATTGTTATATATATAATTACTAGAAATATTCCCTTTTTATTATTTTAACTTCTTCACATGGCGGTCAAAAATGACAATTTTTTTCCCCCTATGAAATCAATGTACTATTTTAGTTAATGTTTTTTTTTATTTAATATTTTGTATTTTTAGGGGATTTTATGGTTCTAAATTATATTTATACTGTATTTATAATCTCTTTTTTAAAGATGACATTTGGAAAATTATTGCTGAATTGAATTTTTTTTGTTTATTGTTTTGAAAAATGCAAATAAAAATATTTTTATTTGAAAAATATATTTCCAAAAACACGTTTTACTATAAAACTGCAAGAAAATTAGAGCCATTAATCTAAACAAGTTATGTTCCAAATATCTTGATATTAGCTTGATATAGCAAACAATGAGCTTTCAATAAGATTTTGTTCAGGTATTAAAAATGTCCACCATTTCTAATGACTAGAAGAATGACTATTCTTTTCAGGACCATTTTAAACCATGTCCATGATTTTTTTGTGTGTGTGACATTGTCCCAAAATTTTTACCAAGGTCCGATGAAGTATTCAAAAAACATTAGTTTTTAATTATGAAGAGCAACAGAGGGTTAAAATTTACTTTCTATTTTATTAATTATTATTCATGTTGCCTTAACTTCTACTTTATATTTATTTTAAGTTATAGATAAATAATTATATAATTTATTTGAAAAATAATTAATAAATAATAATTTATAATTTTATTTAAATTATATAATAATTTATTTAAAAAAAATAATTTATCTTAATTGCATATCTTTATTTTATTAGCTTACATTAAAAATATAAAGTAAGCACTACAAATAAAACTATAACTAATGCACATACTTTTCTTAATATAATGTATTATAAATTAATATTCAAAATATAAATATAAAAACTTAGTTTAATCAAGAAATTTGTTGTTTATTTACAGAAAATAAAGTGCTTATTTTGTTTATAAATACATTTTTTAATATAACTTAAATGCATCAAAAAGTTTTATTCATAACTTAATATAAAACTTAAATATAAAATTAGCAAATTTTTTTGTTCTAAATATTTGTTTTATTTTAATAAACATTTTCTAGTGGTCCAAGTCCCTATTTAAAATCAAGCAATAGCAATAAATTCTCTAAAGGTAGGCTATATCTAGATTCCCTGACTTTCACAGCTTGTTATAACTCCATCGAAAGTCACCACGTGCTATGCAACACAAACAGGCTTTGTTTAGGGTCTAATCGTGGGTATGCTTCCTTGTTTGTGTTTTTAAGCCTCAATAAGTAGGAATGATGGCGTGAACTCAGTGCAGTCGGACTGATCTGTATTCAGCGGGAGTGCATTGCTGCGGCAGCGCTGGTGCCCTTGGGACTTGAGCTGGACCGCATTAATTTGCCATCAAAGCACTGGCGTGTAAAGGCAAGGCATGTAGTGTTGACACTCAGACTCAAATAATACTTGTTGCATGATGTCTTTTCTGCTCCAGATGTTGCTGCTCCTCTTCCATGCGCTCCCGATGCTAGCTTCATTTGCATATGGGCTGTGCACACCTGGCTGCACTTGGATGCTCGATTGGACGGTGTATTTAGCAGGTGCCATTTTACAGGTAAGACATGGGAAACGTCTCCAAAAGGAGAAAGCAAGAAAGCATCTGCAAACTTCCTCCATATAGTGTCTGGGTGAATCTAGAGATTTTCATCTACTATATGCTGATGTTATAGAAGGGGACCATCAAACAGAGCCACGATCAAAGGCCTGGTCTGAACAAGCTCATCCAGCATTGCTTTAACTCCCAGTATGAGGTCTGAGCAGTCAGCATTCCTAATCAAAGAGCTCCAGAATGGGACTCAAGGAGTTTCACTGTAGATCTCCAGCTCTACATACTAATGAACTGAGAGGATGTCATTGCCGTCTGTTCATCTACCCATAGGCAGAAACTTCTACAAATACATGGCAAGGTCCTTTAATTCACATCATTAAACTTTACAAAAGTGCAATATAAAACTAGATTCTAGCATTTTAAAAGTGGTGTTTGGCTGTTCAGAACATTGCAGCCAACAATGCTAGAATGTGCTGGATCTGGCAGCCAACAATGCTAGGATGTGCTGGACATTGTTAATAAGCCCAAATAGGGCTTATTAACAACGTCCCCTATATTAAAATAGTTTGGCAAAAGCATTTTTTGCATTGTCTTAGTTTGGCAGCGCCGATGCTAGCTTAGCTTAGCATAATGAATGGAATCCTATGTTGCCAAGTAGCATGTCGCGAGTAATAGTGATAAAAAAACAAAACAAAAACAAATCTTAAAGCTACGGACGGTTCCTATCCGACAATTCCAGCGGAAGTTGACCGTTGCTATGGTACTGATAAACAAACCTGAATTATTAACTTTTAATAAAATAAATATTGATTTTATAACGATAAGTTGTGATGTCATTTTTTATTTTCATGACTTTCTAACGTTTATAAGGGCAGTTAATACAATTAAATTGAAGGTAGACATTGAACTATTGACCACTATATCACATTTTTTAGCCGACCTGACATGTCAACGTCCTGAGCAACTTTCCTCACGCAGCATAACCCTAATCAGAGAGATCGAACTGACAGAATCAAACTTTAATCTCTCCGCCATTTTTGTTCTACCCGCGTCCGAAGCTTTTCACTGTGTAGTACGACGTCCGTTGGGAACGTATTGCGTATTACGGAGCTGATTTCAACTGCCAGTGTGAAGGCGGCGTAAGACAATGCATGCATTTTGAAAAAAATGCTTTTGCCAAACTAATTTAATGTAGGGGACACTGTGAATATGCCCTATTTCAAAAAACGGTGGAGTGTCCCTATAAAATAAATTCTAAGTTTGAAAGAATGTTCCTAGTTTTTTTTTTCTTGGGATTTTTTTTAATACAATATAAGTTGGTGGCAATCGTATAACTTTTTTTTTCAGAATGGTTTTAAAAAAAATCCTTTTCAGGAACTCCAATTCTTATTAAGAACAATCTTGAGAAAAAAATATAAGAATATTTTTAATAAATGCTTTTGGGAATACTTTTAATGGGCTATATGCATGCATAAGTTCCGCATTTGACACAAGGATGCTCTTCAGTTTCCGGTTGGGGAGATTAAAGCGGAGAAAACGGGATTATGGCAGAGTCTTCAAAATTTTCTGTCCTCCCGTCTTTGAAACGAAACTTTCATACGTTTAGATGTAATTTTATATATAGTTATGTTTATTTAATATAATTTTAAAAAGAAGCATAAACACAACGAGGGGTGTCTGTTTTTGTGACTAATGTTTCTTTAGTATAACCATGGAGTATAAAATTAAATATAAATTCTCAGTATTGCATTGGAGTCTACGATTGGCGGAAGTTATCGAGCATCCTTAAGACCTTCACCGGAAATACCGCCGTGCATAGAGCCTATTAAACAGCAGTTAAGAAACATTCCATTCATAAGATTGCTTTGTGAATCCGACCGGATTGCTTTGTGCTTCTGTTTACCGCAGTGCCAGTGGTCTCATATCGGAGCGTCTCTGCACTCACGCACTGCAGAAATGTACAGGATTCCCACCACGGCCCTGGTGCCAGTCCTCCTCCTCAACCTGCTGTATGCAGTCGGTCCTCTTCTGCTCGCCCTGCGCTGCAAACGCGAGCCGGACTACTTCCTCTCCATTGCACCTGTGGGCCAAACTAACAGTGAGAAGAAATCAAGTTAAACCCCGGAGAAAACCTCAACTTTAAAGGGATAGTTCACACAAATATGGAAGTTCTGTCATCATTTACTCACAGGTGAACTATTCCTTTAAAAAAAACATACATGTCAAAACAGATAATTCTCTTCTCTGTTATAAAAATCTGATGCCTTTCCAGTGCATTTTCCTAGTTCTAGCTTTCTGTTCCCCTTCCACACAAATATCATAACTCCTTTCATGAGTAATTGGCTGGTCTCATAGCTAATAAACAATTATCCTATAAACCATCCTTCTTCTGGATACGTTGTATGTACATGATTACATCAGCAGGGTTGAGTTCTACAACTACTAACCTTAAAAGTAACCCTTGCTCAGCGGCTTTTTCATGCTGATAAGGAGCAGTGCACAACATTTCTGCTTGCACACACAAACAGCACTGTGAGTGAGTGAGATCCAATCAGTCCTAGTGGAATTAGAACAGAAGTCTGTCAAGCTACACAAGAGAAACTAACCTAGCCGATCATTTCAATGTTGACGTAGTAGTGGAAGTCTTAATGTAGTGTATAACATAGGGAGACTCCATGAATAATAAAGTGGCTATAAAAGTGGCTCCAGTGGCTGTAAAAATGAATAAACACTTTTACTGTTGGACAGGAAAACAAGATACAGTTCATCGATCATATAAAACTGTAAGTCATATTGTCTCACTGGAACCTGCCACAGTAAATCATTCAGTCAATATATAACATACAAAAATATCAAACTGTTGTTTTGGTCAATCAAAATATTGTAATTAATAAATTAAATTTAAATAAAGAAGTCGAGCTATCAATAGCATCACCATAGACATAAGGAGCGTTCCATTGGACCGTAAGTAGACTGCGAAGTGGACTTCACAGGGTATTTCGCCATCTTAAGTGAGATTCCAATTCGAAGGGAACGAAGATGTTCAGTTCGAAGGGCACTGCAAACGGCATAGGGAATAAGGGAACATCGATACATCACTTCACAGGAAGTCAGTGAAGTCCACTTCAACTGATATACCGTGTTCAGGGAGTAGGGAGCAGTGAACACTGCGTAGGGACCCTGTCGAATGGAACGCACCTATATACACTAGACCTCACCTGGGGGTTCTAAGCATGCTTTAAAACCGCCGCCATCTTGGAACAGGGGTCTTGTCATAGGAAGTAGCTAGGTAACACTGCTATCTCTGCCTTTACTTCGAATTCATTGATGGTGGCGGACTTTTGTGCAGCGTAGCCTATGATGTTCACGAATGAAATCTGAACTAGGAAGAATGTTTTTTAAAAATAAAAATAATAAAAAAATCTTTCTGGAATCAATGATAAATACATGTCTGACCATTGGAACAAACCAAAAAAACAAGAAAAATCGCATTCATGATAATTTATGGTGATTTTATTTGCGTTAGACCTGTCTACTACATTGACGCTGATGCATTAAAGTGGAGGGGCTCCCCTGTTTCAAGATGGCGGCTCTATTGACGCATTCGTTCCAATGAACTGTCGTATCCAAGGTGAGGTCTAGTGTATATGTCTATGTAGCATCACAAGCTGCATGCTACACATAGCCTAATAGGCTAACGAAGTTATTGTTAATCGATTAATCATTAGGCCAACAAATTGTTCAAAAAATTAAATAGACACACACATATATAGTGCATTACTTCAGTTCTGCAACATGGATATTGCAGACAGATACTGACTACTAAAATAAACATTATCATTTTAACTCTTCGACTAGAAAAAAAGAAAACATTGGAGAATGCGGGCATCGATCCCGCTACCTCTCGCATGCTAAGCGAGCGCTCTACCATCTGAGCTAATTCCCCTTCCGGTTAACCCCTTCAATTCTGGAAGTATTTACCATCAACCTCCCTTGATCTCTAACGCATGTATAAATCATAACTTTATTTATTCATTATAGTCGAGAATAAAATACGACATTATTTTAACAAATCTTCATAATAAAATATGGACCATTTACCAGACCCAAACTCAAAACATACTCACAAATTGCATGGAAAGGGTCCGTGAATGTTTAAAAAATAAGTTTAGGTTGTCGTGGGATTCGAGGTTAACGTTAAATATCCACGACTAAATTACCATATAAACCTGTCGAATAAAGCTAAAAAGCACAGAGTTTGCGACTAAATAAACTAGGTCCGCAACATACGCAACAGAGAAAACTATAACTTACAAATAGAACTTTATAGTAGCGCTACAGCCTGAGGAAAAAAAGAGGAAACTCTTTATCATTAAACCATTACATCAGCACTAAGCTAAGCTTTTCTTTCTGCGTACTGTAAATGAGAAAGTCTTCCACTGCTGATATCGTCAGCAGCGCGTGATGAGGAGACACGACCGACATCTGCAGTGAAACCGAGTCAAGATCGGGACAGCTGCACTAACGCACCTCAGTCAACTGGAGCAAGAAGAACTTTACCCCATCTCTACATAAAACGCGTCTTCTCATGATGATGGTGAGTTCAGATCACTTGTGTGTGGGTTTTACCTCTGTCACCTTGATAATGCGCAGTGCATTGCGGTAGGGGATGCTCAAAGATGCTGTAAGGGGACTTGAGGATGATATGTAGGCTACGATTCCGCTGTGTCGTATATAATGTGTTTGGGCTGGTGTCAGTGCTGCTGCAGTAGTAGTAGTGTGTGTATTTTTGGTTTGGATCATGTTACTTAAATGAATACGTAATAAAGGCCCCCATTTGTTAACAAATACTTCTTGGCTTTGTAAAGATCAGAACAAAAATCTAATTTTTTGTAGGTAGGCCTACATTTACAAACCTTCAGAAATTGACTACACTGTTTGAATATGCCGATTCTGTTTCATCAAAATGTCAGTGTAAACAACCTTAAAGGTTTGAAAACCAAACTAATTTGTGCACAATATAAATAAAGCCTGGTTGTTCCCACTCTGTGTTTTTTCTTCTTTGAAAAAAAGACCTTGTGCCTGGAAACCATCACCTGCGCACTGTTGTTCCTTTCACCCTTTGTGACTACCTACCCAGCCGACATAGAGAAAGGACGGAGGAGAGTGGTTCATGTAATGGGTAAGTACAATGTCTTCTGTGCCACTTTGGTGTCAGATCACAATGTAAGTAATGCAAACATGAGAATGTAGTCAGAACAAGGTTATGGTACCTACTGACAACCACCTACTTGCATTCTGCTGCCTGCCACCATGGTAAATATGCAACCAACCAACAAATAAATACCATTATTGTTTAAGCGCTTTGATATGTAGAGCAATTCATGTAAATTTTGACCTAGAGACCACTCCACCCACAAGAGTCATCTTATGTGTATAATATATCACCACCAGATGTATTAAAAGAAAATCTCTTACAAACCCAGGCTCAAGAAGGGTAAATACAAGCAAATGCAACATCCGATACTCTTTGCATATTTATATTACAGGGATGACGCTGCTAATGCAAGCAAACATACCGCATGATCAGGTTCAGGTCCTCTAGGTCTCTTTTCTTCATTTGGTATTCATTTTTATATAAGCAAGGGAAAACAGTCTTTAATTGCCAATAGCTGTTGCACTAGCTGTCCTCTCACAGCATTGCCTTGTCATTTACTTGGCAGCTGCAAATTACTTTCAAAAAGTCTGTGGTTACAGTGACATTGCTTTGAGTTTAGAACCCTTTTTTTCCAAATGAAATACTGGTTCTTTATCTGTCTCTGGCTGAATTAATGATTGGACATGTTTGGCAACCCTGCTCTCAAAAGGTGCTTTGGTAACAAACATTTCAGATTGCCAGGTATCCAGCTGACAGTTTAAATGAGCAGATGTCAAGGCTTATTACGGCCCTTGAGGTCTGTCCAAGATCTTGGATAGCTATCAGAAAAGGTGTTCGATAGCTATGGTTCACACTTTTAAGATTTGGTGGCTTGGAGGAGCACTCGTCACTTTCAAACCCAACTATGCTTCAAGTGCAACAATGCTTCAAGTACCTTTGAACGGCCTTCAGACAAAAGCAATGGATTCTGTGGGAAATGCATTTTCAGTGTCGTTTTCGAGTTATTCAAATGTCTTCGTTGGGTCAGATGTTCCTGTTGCTTATTAGGTAAAAGCAAGGTGCTCAGCAGGTGGGCTATATATGCAACTGCACAATGCAGACTTTAGACTTATTTGGCACGTCAGTTGAGTTCTCTGAATCGAAAGGGACACACCACAAAAATACTGATAGATGTGGTTATATCTGAAAAGGAAATTACCCTATTTGCACACAAACTGCATTACAATGCCAAGTTTCACAATCAGGTGCCTTTTCACCCAAACCTGTGACAAAGTATGGAAACCTTTCAGAAAAATTCAGAAGAAACCAGGTAAATTGAGCCACTTTTTGACATTGAATGACTGTCAAAACGTGGCCCAATTTACCTGAATTCACCTGTAATATATACATACACAAATATGACTGCAGAATCTAGGAACTATAACAGGGTTCCTGCACATTTTTAAAGTAAAATTTAAGGCTTTTTAAGACCTGAAGAAATCAAAATTAATACCATACATTAGGGGTGTGCGATACTGACAAAAATATATCTCGATATTTTCAACGTTTTGTTGATAAACACAAAACAAAAACACAATCAGTAAAATATCAACTAATTATTATTAACAATAATTAGTTGATATTTTACTGATTGTGTTTTTGTGCTGGTGCCATGGCTGGTTTAGGCCTGTTGTTGACAGCAGACTCACGGAGATATTTATATTTTTCATATTCTATGCAGTGGTCAGTTCACAGCAGTGACAGAAATGATTAATTAATGTGCAATATTTGCCACCTTAAATTGATTTCCAGGGGCATTTTCACCTATTTATGGAGATTTTTTTTCTAAACTTATTTAGAGTAATGCATCACGTGCATCACGTATATACAGTAATTATACACTTATTTATACAATAATATTTAATTACACAATAATTATACAGTACCACTGTTAGCAGTCAAATTAAATCATTCAATCAAAAAATCCATCTTTGCAGTGCAGAGGTGACGCAGAAGCAGCATTAGAAGTGGCATTAATATCTCCATTTACAATTGCATAAATCAAGCTATAAGGTTTTTTTTAATCAATATTCAATATTTAAATGTGAAATGATTTCTAATTTTAACGTTTTACTTTTAATATGAAACTAAAACCGCCAGTAGGCGGCGGTAAATCGCTGTCTTAATAAGCGAGATGAGGGAGTCATTCATTCAACCGATTTGTTCAAACGGGAAAGAAGTAAGTGATTGAATCGTTAAAATGACTCGTTCAAAACGCGGATTTCCTTTAAGAAATCATGGCTGTCTGTTGCATTGAGACTCTGCTACGGTTTCATTTTGATATTCTAGTCGGCGAAATAAAGGGAAAACAAACTTTGATAATGTTATGTCTAAAAACGAACTCACAATGTCAATTTATTTTTAATTGAACTATTGTATAACATAAATATCACACTTGTGCACGGGAAAACGACACTCTTATGTGATATTCTAATATAATAACATGATATAAATATAAGGCAAAAACTAATTTGGGGACATACCTATAACCATAGACATAATAAATACATGTCTATGCCTATAACTGCACACATCACGCAGTGAAAAAACGAGAGACAAATGCGATGTCAGCTCACATTCACAGTGCCTCGTCCATCGTTAAAACAATAGAATATCATAACAGACAATACACATCGCACACCTCTACGCACATAAAGAATTAACTTAGGACTTAACTGACATTTGCCAACTTTCTTCTCTCCTCCTCTCCTCTCCCGCGTGCAGGTGACGGACGTTATTCTACCGCGAATGTGACGCGAATTGTCACGTGAACAAGCAAATCCACAAAGATAGATAAAAATGAATACGTACGCAAATTAGATGGTTTTAATTTGGAAAACATTAAGATATGACTAAGTCGAAGTGTCATCTAAAATTTAAGACCTTTCATACCTAAAAATAAGACTTTATAAGACTTTTAATGGCCTTAAATTTTAAATATCTAATTTAAGACTTTTTAAGGACCCGCAGGAACCCTGTATAAAGTCAAGGGTTTAAAACCCAGAAACACACAGAATAGTGATTCCTTCAATTCTCTCTCTTTTTCTTTAGAGGATGATACTGGGGCAGTGATAGTACAAACTGCTCCAGGTAAGGTGGTCACCCATCGCGGTGGGACTATCACCCTTCCCTGCCGTTTCCACCATGAACCAGAGAACGTCGACCCTTACCGCATTCGCATCAAATGGACGAAGATTTCTGATTCTTTCCAGTTTGAAGATGTGTTTGTTGCACTGGGGCGACAACAGAAGGCATTTGGGTCTTACCGTGGCCGTGTGTCTCTGGAGAGGGCAGGACCAGGAGACGCTTCAGTTATAATTCATAACATCACCTTGCAAGACTATGGCCGCTATGAGTGCGAGGTCACCAATGACATGGAGGACGACACAGGATTTGTCAATCTAGACCTTGAAGGTCAGGGAGTTGGCCATGTGTTTTTATTGTAGCAACTAAGATTGAATAAAGTGTCATATTTCTGTGAACTTCTTTTTTTATAAGGTGTGGTGTTCCCATACTATCCTCCATCCGGACGGTACAAGCTCAACTACCACCAGGCTGAGGATGTGTGCCGAAAGCAAGATGCTATTTTGGCCTCTCATGCACAACTACACAAGGCTTGGCTTGAGGGCTTGGACTGGTGTAATGCCGGCTGGTTAGAAGATGGCTCGGTCCAGTACCCCATCTCCCATCCTCGAGACCAATGTGGCCGTAAGGACAGCCCTCCCGGTGTCCGCAACTACGGCTACAGGCACAAAGATGACGAACTCTTTGATGCCTTTTGCTTTACCTCGAACCTCAACGGTGAGTGTTTGCCTTCTCAGCAATCTCTTCCAGCCTAAGGCTGTTGGACCAGGTTTCTGTTGAGAAGGTCCTCCTGCTTCTCCTTTTACTGCCTTCTGTTTGATACGTGTCCAACAAATGGTGCTAGAGATATAAATGAAGGAGTCTTAACTGAGCAATGGATCAGTTTGTGGAAAATTGCCCAAATCAAATCAAATTTCAGGGAAACTATGATTAAATGGGTGCAAAGTCACTTTGTGGCCATGTGGGAATAATAGGCGTTTGCACAGTTGAAAGTTGAATTGATTTTGTCTTCAGGAAGAAAACTGATTTTTTTTTGGCCCAGGTTCAGACCATTTGTTACTAAGTGCTGTATGATCCAGTGGGTACACAAGACTTGCTTAGTTCTTCAAACCCAATTGCAGTCAAGTCATTGAGAGCCAAAGGCTTTTCTTTTCATCCCCAAGTGGGCTATTAGAGAGGACAGTTTGTCTGGAAATATTTATAGCTAGGGCAATTTTCAATAATACCCCTACACTGACCAGCTGCTGGAATTTACCGAATGACCCAGTGGGAAATATAAGACGATGTGCTGCCCTAACAGTCAGCAGTCACATAAACAAAAAGAAATCAATGAATGACTCCTGAAAAAACAGGTGGCATTCTGAAATCTTTCTTTCTTTCTGTGTCCTCTTTCCTCATTTTCTTACCCAGCCAGGCCTGAACAAAAAAGGCATTATTTTTTCATCATGGTAAAGCTAGATGTAAATTCATCTGAAGTGAAATGTCTTCTAGTAATTCTAGGATTTCATGTTTCTTCAGCATTTCAGACATTTATGGTGAACTCCTCACAGCTTCTGATGTCTTTCATAAAATTGTGTTTCTGTTGCAGGACGTGTTTACTTTCTCAAACGTTTTAAGAAGGTGAACTACCTTGAGGCGGTAAAGGCATGTCAACGTGATGACGCAGTGATAGCCAAAGTTGGACAACTATATGCCGCTTGGAAGATCCAGCTCTTGGACCGTTGTGAGGCAGGATGGGTGGAAGATGGCAGCATTCGTTACCCCATAGTCAATCCTCGGGCCCGCTGCGGTGGCCCAGAACCCGGTGTCCGAAACCTGGGTTTCCCTGATAAGAAGTTCCGCCTCTACGGAGCCTACTGCTTCCGCAGGAACCCTGATGTCCAGTCAACACAGGCTCCGAAAGAAACCACATCCCAACCAGCTAACAGCACCAGAAGTATCTGAAAGTGCAAAACATTAGTTACAATAGCATCATTTTTGCACACCTGCTAGGTTACTACTAGGCAACTAGGCTAGCGCTGAACTCGGGGCATATTCAAGCTTATATAATTTTACTCATTTGAAATTAGGTGTCAATCAAATCAGAGACATCACTAGGGATATTTATGGCACAATGTATTAGCCTAAATGTTTCACAGTATACCCTGCATGCTGAGAAAACAGAACTTAGCCTTGAGGTTTTCAATTTGTTTTATTTTCTGCTGTTTCCCAGGGAAGACAAAAGCAACTTCAATGAGCACTAAGAAAGCAGGAGTGCTAATTTAGCCTTATAATGAGTGTAGCACATTAGCAATACTCTGGAAGCTTGTTTCTACCTCTGAATTGTGAGTTTATATCTCACAATTCTGACTATTTCTCGCAATTCACGAGTTTATATCTCACAATTCTGATTATTTCTCGCAATTCACAAGTTTGTATCGCACAATTCTGACTTCCTCGCTATTGTGAGTTTATATCTCACAATTCTGATTATTTCTCGCAATTCACGAGTTTATATCTCACAATTCTGATTATTTCTCGCAATTCACGAGTTTATATCTCACAATTCTGATTATTTCTCGCAATTCACGAGTTTATATCTCACAATTCTGATTATTTCTCGCAATTCACAAGTTTGTATCTTACAATTCTGATTATTTCTCGCAATTCAGGAGTTTATATCTCACAATTCTGATTATTTCTCGCAATTCACAAGTTTGTATCGCACAATTCTGACTTCCTCGCTATTGCGAGTTTATATCTCACAATTCTGATTATTTCTCGCAATTCACAAATTTATATCTCACAATTCTGATTTTTTCTCGCAATTCACGAGTTTATATCTCACAATTCTGATTATTTCTCGCAATTCACAAGTTTGTATCGCACAATTCTGACTTCCTCGCTATTGTGAGTTTATATCTCACAATTCTGATTATTTCTCGCAATACACAAGTTTATATCTCACAATTCTGATTATTTCTCGCAATTCACGAGTTTATATCTCACAATTCTGATTATTTCTCGCAATTCACGAGTTTATATCTCACAATTCTGATTATTTCTCGCAATTCACAAGTTTGTATCTTACAATTCTGATTATTTCTCGCAATTCAGGAGTTTATATCTCACAATTCTGATTATTTCTCGCAATTCACGAGTTTATATCTCACAATTCTGACTTCCTCGCTATTGCGAGTTTATATCTCACAATTCTGATTATTTCTCGCAATTCACGAGTTTATATCTCACAATTCTGACTTACATGTAATTGTGAGTTTCAGTTTATATCTAACAATTCTGACTATTTCTTGAAATTTGCGAGTTTATATCTCTCAATTCTGACTTTCTCGCAATTCACGATTTTATATTGCACAATTCTGACTTCCTCGCTATTGCGAGTTTATATCTCACAATTCTGATTATTTCTCGCAATTCACAAGTTTATATCGCACAATTCTGATTATTTCTCACAATTTTACGAGTTTATAGAATTATGAGATGAAATGTTGTCTATATATTTTTTTTAATGTTCTGTGGCGGAAACAAGCTTCCATACGATAGCTCTTACTGACCTGATGATGAGAAAGTGGACAAAACTTGCATCGGATGCTAGCATGACCTGGCTAGCTTGGCTGAGCTTAGCTTGCTTATTAAAATTAACTTTCACAGTTCTTGCCACCGAAGCAAGTAGCACAACTGATTAGCTTTGCCAATTACTATGCACATATCACTAATTTTGATACAATTTGAATGACCTTGCAAGCAATAATAGAATTAAGCATGACATTTTAAGACATTTGTTACACAAATAAAGCTAAAATATTGTGAACGACAGTCTTATATAAGCTGCTTTACTACCTCTTAGTGGTTGACAATTGCGCTGTTTGTTCAGTATTGCACAATATTGTCAATGATGAAGCATTTGAGATTAAAGTTATTTATCTGTTTGCGTTGCCTCTCAATTCTCTAAATACTGTGGATACTGGGCACAGAATTGCTTGTGAACACAAAAGCTTGACCTCTGACACAAAAAGGGAAGAAAAACCTGATGTCGCTGGTAACCATGACGATGGCTGAATATGGCTCTAGCAAATTGCACATTGCTATTTTGGTTTGTCTTGGGCAAAAGCACCTGGTGATGCCGCTCTTTGTGTCTACAGTCTGCAAAAACACTTGAAAAAATGTTTGCTGCTTTGCCAGAATAACATAAGTGGTCGTTACATTTCCATAGTAACCGCTATAATGAGGCCTCATGAATTAAATAAAAAAGCTACAGTAATTTTTTGCTGAAATTAGGCTGTTTACTCTGATAGCATCCATTAGTATTTCTGGTTGCATTTGGCATCCTGTAGCATGTTTGAATATATGAATTTAAACATTTTAAACAATCCAGAAAGTTAATTCTTACTGTAAAAAAATATCTTATGATTTGTTATCACAACATTTTTTTCTTTTGTCAAATCAACTTAACTAATGTGGTTCAGATAACATAATATCTTAAGTTTCTGGTGATTAACTCGTATTTTTAAGGCAACCAGGGTATTTACTTTTTAAGTTAAACCATCAATATATCTTTTTTTTTTACAGTGCACCAAAATGTAAGGAGCTGTATTATTTCTTAGAAACACACACAAAATAATGTATACAATTTTTTAGTAAATGTATTTCTAAAAAGCCGTTCATATGTTGTTACTCTCTTACCAGGAACATGTATAAAAATACAATTTAATGTATGTCTCTTCAAATGGTTGCATGACTGTCATTGGATCCTTTTAATCTTCCCTCAACATGAAGAAGTCAAAATTAATTGACCATTAACAACTGAGCACGTCCTCTTGGGCAAACAGAACTGAATCAGAATCTCATTTCTTACCTGCTGAAAGGATAAAACAAAGTGAAAATTAAACATGGTTGTAACACTGATTAGCTCATTTCGGCGGGTAAGAAATGAGATTATGATTCAGTTCTGATCGGAAGCGGCCGCAGGTACAGATCAAGAGCAAGCATGCTGCTTTCCCTCGCTGCTTTGTGTTGAGAGAACTCAAACTGAAGTGGAAAAGAAGGGGCAGAAGGTTAATGCAACCGTTTAGAGCATTTATTCACAGTGTGTTCTTGAATATGATCTTAAACATGACCAAAGTAGGAAACAAAGAGACACGATTTTTACAAACTGGAAAGAATTGCAAAAAAAATAATTGCAGCTACCACTTAAAAGTTACAACAGAATAATTTACAAGTACTGAATATGTGATATCAAAATGCAATTTATTAGGTTATAGGTTTCCCATTATGCATACCGTGCGAACGACCCTTAGGACACAATGTAAACCCTAATGCTCAAAATAATTAATTGGATTGAGGGTTAATGAAACAAATTTTTGTTTGAGCACTCTCAGAACTACAGTTCGGTGACACATCATCAGGTTCAGCAGGTTGAGATGTAATAGTTGGGTTGGTCTGTTTGGAGTTGGGCTGGGGAAGACCTTGACTAAGGTAAGAAACCTTTGCTGGGCCAAAGATACCCCTCCTCACCACCTTAATCTTAACGCTCCTGGAACGTGTGGTCTTAACTGTTTTTCCCATATCTGAAATCAAAATATTTGTCAATTATTACATAAGCAAAGTGCAAACTGTACTTATCACAGCCTAAAAAGACAAAAACACATCAATGAGCGTGGGATGCAGATAAGGGATATGTATTTTGTGCCATAGATAGATATCTCAATAAGAGTAAGGTTAGGCCTATGCTTCAGTGAAGCATCAACGAGCATACAATATCAAGCAATAGGCTGCTTTAAAATGTGGAAAAAGTAATTTTGCAAGGCTAACTTTACGTTTAACTAGAAACTACATTTCCCCAGTAGCCTCATGAGCAAAAACATGCTTATTTAGCAACTTTAATGGTCAATTAAACAAGCAAGTTAGTTAACGTAATGCTAAAGGCTTTACGTAAACGTAATAACGTAATAGGGCCTAAAGTTGGCCTGTTTAACGTTTACAAAATAATCGTAATACGCTTAACTTATGTCAACACTCATGTCACGCAACATTAAAACACATTTTATGTATTGTTTTCCATTATTGACTAATTATTACGGTATAAATGATCGGTTTTATCATTAAATGTTCTTACCTGAAAATACCAAGCGCGAAATATCATCATACGGTTATCTCATAACGTCACGCAACATTAAAACACATTTTATGTATTGTTTATGTATTGTTTTCCCTTAATGACTAATTAATTACCGTTTAAATGCTCGTTTTTTATCATTTAAATGCTCTTACCTTATCAAAAATCAAGCGCGAAATATTCCAACGTAGCTGCGTCATTCAGTAGACTTCCGATTACCGGCGAGCTGGATTCTGGGATTGGAGCTGGAGTCTTCTCCTGTATTTGTCGGTGATTAACCATGTGGATGGATGATAACAGCCTTCTGAGCCTACCAGTAGGCGCAGCAGGCCCCTACTGGCCCATATGGAATGATAACCACTGATAACGCCCATTCAATCGAGTGATAACATTCGAAGTGGGTGCAATAAGTCAAGATTATTAAAAGTACAAAATAAAAAATCTACCAGTTCTTCTTACTTACACTTTGAATTTCTTAACTCGAAATGTTTGATGTAACTGATTATCTTTTTGGTTTTTTTTGCCAACATTTGTGTTCACAGTGCATAAACAACATTAATATCAACAGATTTTAGGTTTACACTGTAAAAATGAATATGCTTTATCTAATCAAAAAAAAAAAATGTGGCAAAAGATTACAAGCAATGTTATTAATTAAATTTAACAAATTAGAATTGAGTAACAATTAATCAAATTAATCCCTTAAAAGTTAACCATTTAAAATGAGTAAAAAAAAAAAAACAACATAAATTGAAGTCACCATTATGGTGATCGGTGTTTGTTTTATTTTATTTTATTTTTTAAATTATGGTTTTCTCCTTCAGTGATTATGTTTGTTAACATCAGGGGCTCGTTCTTCGTACGTTGCTTAAAACATCCGAGATCAAATGAGACATCCAAGATAATATCATCGTGCTAATCATGATCCGGCTAATTGGGTTCTTCGAACACACCTGTTGTTTATGATTAGTATCGCTGGATTGAGTTATCTGAGATAACTGCGCGTTCTCGCGTTGGTTTAAAAGGGGACATGTATCGATAGCAGAACCAGTGATCAGCAGCGCTGCTATTGGCTGTTCAGCATGGCCAAAGAACACGCCCAGTTTTTCTCCCAAGCAGAGCAAGCGCTTTTAATGCAAGGTTATGCCGAATTTCAGTCTTTAATTAAAACGCCAGGGAACACCTCAAAGTGTGCAAAAGCCAGGAGAGAGTGCTGGCAAAACTAGAAGACAAATTAAATGCGTTTGTGGTGACCAT